ACTCTGTCCTCTAGGGGCGCTGTGGGTCAGAATGGACTCCACGGCAGTGGGTGTGGTTTGGGCTTTGCTTCTGTGAAGATTGACAGCCTTGGAAACCCTGTGGGCAGTTCCACTCTGTCCTCTAGGGGCGCTGTGAGTCAGAATTGACGGTACCCAACAATAACAGCATCTGGGTGTGCAAACGATGAACACATCTTGCTGCTGATCCAGAAGTTGGCAGTTTGCGCTCACCCAGAAGCAAAGCCTGGCATTCCTGAGACCTCACCTGTTGAAGCCACAGCTCGCCGTGAGTCGGAATCGGCTCGGCAGCAGCCCTTTGGCTCTTTGGGGTGTTTCTGGTGACTGCACGGGTCATTGTATGTGAATGTCTTTCTGCCACCCGCTCATGGGCATCTGAGATGCATGGTGTCACAGCAGTGAGTGGCCCCACCGGCTTCAGGTCACAGAGCCACACAGGCGCGGGCCTGCAGGCCTGGAGTGGGGTGTGTGCCCTTCAGGGCAGTGACGTGCTGGGACGAGGGGCAGTAATGACCCGCCCTTGTTCTCTCGCCGACAGCTCGGAGCTGCAGGATGGGGTGCAGTGTGCTGCTGAGCATTGGCCACCAGATGCTGCGTCGCAAGGTGGTGGACTGCAGCCGTGAGGACAGCCGGCTGTCGCGCTGCCTCAACACCTTCGACCTGGTGGCCCTGGGTGTGGGCAGCACGCTGGGCGCCGGCGTCTACGTCCTGGCTGGGGCAGTGGCCCGCGAGAACGCCGGCCCCGCCATCGTCATCTCCTTCCTCATCGCCGCGCTGGCCTCGGTGCTGGCCGGCCTGTGCTACGGCGAGTTTGGCGCCCGGGTCCCCAAGACGGGCTCGGCCTACCTCTACAGCTACGTCACCGTGGGCGAGCTCTGGGCCTTCATTACGGGCTGGAACTTAATCCTGTCCTACATCATTGGTGAGTGCTGGCCGGCCCGAGGCGGGGGCCTTCTCTCTGTCCCACTTCACACTCTGGACGGGGGACCCACGACCTCCCCAAACTGTCCGTGACTCGGTCACCTCCCTGGGCTCTACTGCCGTCAGTTGTTTTCCTTTTATGGGCGTTGCTGTGTGTGGTAATGAGGCCCCCTCTAGAATGAGCCTGTTTCTAGGTGGCAAAGGTAGTTAAGTGCTCAGCTGCTAACTGAAAGGTTGGTGGTTCAAATCCACCCAGGGGAACCTCAGGAGAATGTGTGTTACCTCAAAAAACAGCCACACTTCAGTGGACCAAATGGGAGTGATCAGCACCGTGGCACTGAGGAAGAGGACGGCATAGAGAGGTGAGTGGGAGGTACAGACACAAAGATGAATCCTTTTGCACACACAGCACTGCGTCATCATTGAAGGCACACGTGGGTAGACGGGTGGACAGGCGGAATTGTTAGGTATGTCTATGCAGGGGGGAGTGTGCCCAAGACCATGTATAGGGTTGGCAGACAATGTTTCTATAAGTGTATTAGTATATTCTGTAAGAATTCCCAGGGGTATAGTAGAGCTGACAAGGGCCAAGGTTGTAGTCACTTCTTGGCCACAGCCAGCTACTCAGAGGGAGCGGGTAGTTGGACCTGTGGGCTAGGGACCATAGTTGCGGGGGACATCAAACTCAACTCACATAACATACTACACAAAACATTGTTCCACATCTTACTTTGGTGAGTAGTGACTGGGATCTTAAACGCTTGCAAACAGCCATCTAGATGCAGCAATGGGTCTCTCCTCATCCAGAGCAAAGAAAAATGAAGAAAAGTAGATTCATGGAAAGAATTAGTCCTAGCGACTGGTACACCATGCGATCCTCAGCCTATATGACTATGAGACCAGAAGAACTAGATGGTTCCTGGCTACCACTGTCAGCCACTTGGAGGTGGATCTATGTAGGAGATCCTGGATAGAGAGGGAGAACAATGTGGAGCAAAACTCAAAATCATTTGGGAAGAAAAAGGGGGACCAGCTTTGCTGGTCTGACAGAGCCTGTTGGAACCACTGAGACTGTGGCCCCTAGCTGCCCTTCAGGTCTGGAAGCCACTCGTGTGTCTTCCAGCCAAGCAGAAGACAGGCATATGAGCTGAACATTTACCTGAGGTAGATACACTCCTTGGAGAGAACAATCATGGGAGAAAGAAGGGCTGCTTATGCACAGGGAGACAGCTCAGGGGGCAGGAGAGTATGGAGGGATGGACACTGGGAAGAGGTAACTATGGGGAGGAAGTGGGAGGGGGAGCTGTTGCATTGTGGGCAGTTGTAGTCAGTGTCATGAGACAACGTGTGTATAAACTGCTGTTTGGAAAGTGAATATGCTCTATAAACTTTCACCCAAATGATACACACACAAAAAAGAATCAGTGAAAAAATTGATAAAAGATTCATAAATGTCTAACATCAAATTTTAATATCTGTTGAAATTTGAAATGAAATATGCCACAGGAAGAAAAAGTAAAACAAAAACACTCACTCCCATCAAGTCAATCCTGACTCATCGCAAGCCCCATTGGTTTCTGAAGCTGTAAATCTTTGCAGAAGCAGGTCCCCCCATCTTCCATCCACAGAGCAGCTGGGGGGTTTGAACCGACCTCCTCCTGGTTAGCAGCCAAAGGCCATATCCACTGTGCTGCCCGAGCTGGTTGTTCCCGTCTGTCAAACTAGCCATTGAAGGCTGTGGCACACCAGAGACCGTCATGAGTCAGGATCGACTCAGTGGGCTGCCACTGGTTTGCTTTGGTTTCTCCTTTGGCCTGTGCCCTTGTTTTTAATGGTAGAGTGGGAACTAAGCCAGGCCAACAGGCTGTCACTTGAGAGACTGCTAACTTGAGGGTCAGAATTGGGAGGATGTTTCCAATTAGTTAAAAAACAGTTAGTTCCTTTTAACCTGTTCTTCAGCTTATGGGCGTCAATACTGAGGGAATCTGTAACAGGACAACGAGAAAGTAGAAATCGCTCCCTCTGTCAGTGAATAACTCTAGTTTATCTGTTCATTTCTTCTTTCTTTCACCAGATTCTTACTGAGCCAGGTGTTACAGTAGACATGAGGGATGTCACGGGGAACATGACCTTCACTGTCTTCCTGAGCACTTAATGTCTGATGACAGTAGCTGTGATTAAGACTTTGTGAATTTTAATGTGTGGTGTTTTTTTTGTTTTAACAATTTGTCTCTATTTACAAAATAACATACAGTCAAGATTTTTTATATCGTTAACTATTTCTTTTCATGGTATTTCTTCTGGTGGCATAGCGTCATGAAGGATACATAGTGTGACTTTTTGGATGGCAGTTCTCTAGTGCTACGGGGTGTTCTAGTTCCCTAGTGCCGCTCTGACAAGAATATACCACCAATGGGATGGCTGAACAAACAAGTTACTCTCTTACAGTCTGGAGATTTTAAGTCCGAGTTCAAAGTGCCAGGCTCTAGGGCTGGGTGAAAACCCCTGAACCTTGGGGTCCAGCTCTGCCTCCTGCTCCTGGCCCCCTGGAGCTAGAGGCGTTTCTTCACTCAGACAGCTGCTGGCTGCTGAGGCTGACAAGCAGCTAGTAAAAAGGCACAGTCCTGATATTACCAAAGCACACAGCAGGCCATTGATTCAAGTCCATTTAACGTCCCAAGGTCAGCAGAGCATGGCAGGCTGCTGAACAACGACACAGCTACATGTAAGGTTCAAGTGTGGCATTAGCTAGAGAACTGTTCCCCAAGGCTTCTCCTTATATACAGGAAGCAGACCACATCCCAAAGGCAGCTACTGAGCTGCTCCAATAGATTCCACCATGGAGTTGATTGCCAGTCTCATCATGGAGAATAACTGCTTTTAGCTGTCCAGCCATTCAGCCAGGCCCTGCCAAGTTGACACACAAACTTAAGTACCACAGGGATCACTTTAACACACAGAAGTTGGTGGTCTTACAGTTAAAATCAAAAACCAAACACACTGCTGTTGAGTTGGATCTGACTCATAGCGACCCCTCCTTGGGATTCTCAGGTAGTATCACTATGGAAGTAGGTTGCCCAGCCTTCCTTCTGAGGAGTGGCTGGTGGGTTTGAACCGCTGGCCTTCTGGTTAGCAGTCAAGGGCCTTAGGCACTGTGCCACCAGAGCTCCTGGTCTCCCAGTTAGGAGGCTGGGAATCCAAATTCCAGGTGCCGGCTCCAGGGGAAGCCTTTCCTCTGTGAGCTCTGGAGTAAGGTCCTTGTCTCTTTCCAGCTTGTGTCCCTGGCTGGGTGGTCTTCACGTGGCCAGGCATGTGTCCCTGCCCGCCCCCCCCCCATTTCTGCTTGTTCCTTCTGCTTCTTTTATATTCTGTAAGAGATCGACTCATGACTCACCCTCCACTAACCCTGCCTCATTCACACAACACAGACAACCCAGTCCCAAGTACTGTTATCACAAAGGTTACGACTTACAGCACAGATCAATCCATAACATTGAATTAGTGTCCTTTTTGGATACTTGAGTGGTCTCCAGTTGTGTTGTTGTTGTTATAATCAATAATTGCTTTATAGGTAAGCCCTTGGGTATAGAGGGAGCCCTGGTGGTCCAGTGGTTAAAGTGCTTGGCTGCCAACCAAAAGTTTGGCAGTTGGATCCCACCAGATGACCCATAGGTGAAAAATGAGGCAGTCTGCTTCAGTAAAAATGACAGCCTTGGAAACCTGTGGACAGTTCCACTCTGTCCTCTAGGGGGGCTGTGAGTCAGAATCAGCTCCGCGGCAGTGGGTGTGGTTTGGGCTTTGCTTCTGTGAAGACTGACAGCCTGGGAAACCCTGTGGGGCAGTTCCACTCTGTCCTCTAGGGGCGCTGTG